CCCCCCCCCGTTCCCCTTTTCCAGGCAGCAATTTCGGCGGCGGCGGCGGCGGCAACTACAACGATTTTGGCAGTTACAACAACCAGTCGTCCAACTTCGGTCCCATGAAAGGGGGAAACTTCGGGGGCCGGAGCTCGGGGCCGTACGGCGGCGGTGAGTCACCCCGCGGGCTCCGTGCTCCCCGGGGCGGGTGCACCCCGACGCCGCTCTCCTTGGAGCATTTCCGACCACCCAGGTCCGCGGGGCTCCTCGGCGGGGGCCGGGCGCGTGCCCCAAACCCTCCCATAATACCGAGCTGTCATTGATTCATTCCCCTTTTTTTTTCTCTCCCTTCCTCTTTTTTGTGTCTCTCCTCGCCAGGAGGTTACGGCAGCTCGAGCGGCGGCGGCAGCTACGGAGGAGGGAGGAGGTTCTGACGCCCGCAGGTAAGCTTGGCTGCCACGCAGCAGAACCAACACACAACAGTTTAAACCTCCCACAAAACAAAAACACCATCAGGGTCGGGCGGAAAGGAGCAGCCCGACGTCTCGGGGGTGCTGTAGATTAACTCTATTCCATGTTATTCAACAGGAAACAAAGCTTAGCAGGAGAGGAGAGCCAGAGAGAAGGGACAGGGAAGCTGCAGGTTACCCGAGTTGTGAACTCAGCCAAAATCACAGTTGTGGCGGGGGGTGGCTGCGACGTGAAGACGTGTATTAGACAGAAGTCTCCTTTGCGAACAGGACTGTAATTGTGACTAATTGTATAACAGGTTCTTTTAGTTTTTCTGTGCCGTGGAAAAGCATTCCTTAACGAGGCCTCCCGGGAGCCTCGGTTTTATTTGCGCACCCGTGCTGTCGATCGCTGACTGTAACAGAAAAATGACGCTGAATAAATGTGTCCTTTTTTTTAAAAAAAAAAAAACCAAAAAACCAAAAAATTCTGCTGTCTTGAGCCCCTCTGGTGTCGGTCGCCGCGGAGCCACCGGCGCAGGATAGCTCAGGTCCTCCCCATTTCACACTCCCACCCCCCCTTTTCCCCTTTCCCACCCCCTCACCTCCACTCCAGCCCTTCACGGGCTGCTCTCCCCCCCCCAATTTGTCCCCCAATTTGGGGCTTTCTC